GTCATTTTGAATGTGATGCCTACAGAGTACACACGCTCACTCAAAGGGATCTACTGCCTCCCCTGACCAGCACAGTGAAGTCATCATTATTCATGCATGCACATTCCAGTCCATTCTCCTTGGCTACCAGGTTACATCATTGTCACTCAAACCATTCTTATTATATTAACAATGGCTGGACTTTTTCCAGACACATGTCATATGGGTAACCTATAGAGGCAGACAATGGTGTGGTGATCATTAGAGGGACGGGGGAATGGAGGCTGGATAGAGATGGGCAAAGGAGAGAAATGGGGACATCTGTAATAGTGTCAACAATAAAAACTTAAATTTATTAAAGGTAAAATTAAAGGTAATTTTAGTGGCAGGCCTTCTATATTGCACTGTAAAGATCTCAATGGGCCATCTTTCCAGTGAAACAACACCATGGGTAAAAAAGTATTTTTATAAGCCAACGTTATAAAGTTCCTTCAAATGGCCTTCAGGACAAATATCAAATGGGAAAAAAATTTCCAGGAAAGCTACGCATTTTGCTAAGAACCAAGTCAGTAGCATTGAAGCTATGACCTACCCCATTCCTCCTCTACCCCTAGCTGTGTGACAGAAGTTTTACTTCAGTGAAATGCATTCAAGAAGCAGGGCTACTCTCTAACTCCAGGTATCTGTGTAGAGCTGCAGGTCCACCCTACAAGGGGAAGGAAACTAACATCTCATCTTACCCTGGTTCACATTATGCAAACACTTTTCCCACTAGCCAGAACTGAGTGCATAGGGGCTGCCAATTCCCATCCAGTTCCCATTTTGTACTGTTAGATCTTTGCCCAAGGACAGCCAGCTGAGAATTTTGGGACCCAGTGGCCACTGCCTCACCTTCTTGTCCAGCAATTCCTCACTAGAAAGGGCAAGAGTGGTCACATTTACAAAAGACAAAATACACTTCAACTCAAAAACCATAAGGAGTGACAAAGAAAGACTTATACAATGATAAAAAGGTAAATTCTCCAGCAAAATATGATTATAAATACATATGCATCAAATATGCCCAACATAGGAAGTAAACAGTTTACACAATTGAAGTGAGAAACAGTAACACAATAATAGTGGAAGATTTCAATATCCCACATTTAATAATGATAAACCATGGAGAACATTGTTAAGGAAACACTCCATTCCTTTCAATTAAACATATACTTACCATTTGATCAAGCAATCCCATTAATAGAAATTATCAAAGTGAAATGCCAAAACAAAATTAGACAGATATGTGGTAAGTTTATTCAAAATATACAGATATTGGAACCCACCCAAATGCCCTGCAACTTAGACATCTAGAAACAATCTGTGATATTTCTGTACTGGAATACTATTCAGCAATAATAAAAGAGATTTTACTACTAATATATTACAGGTAGGATTATGTTCCTAAAAAATTCATTTGTTGGAGTCCTCATCCTCAGTACTTCAAAATGGAACCTTGTTTGGAAATAAGATTTTTGCTGATTTAATTAGGTAGGATTAAGTCATAATGGAGCAGGCTAATCTTGGAATCCAGTATGACTCATGTCCTTTTAAGAAGGAAAAATCTGGGAGGTGAGATCAGAGGGATGGTGGTGTGAGAGGTCTCCTTGGCCTCTCTCTTTGAAGTTTTGACAGTTTGAACAGGTGTAATTGAACAAAGGATTCCCTGCTCAACACACAAACAGCATGCTAAGTGAAAGAGGCCAGACAGAAGAGCTATGTAGACTAGGCTTTTATTTATAGAACGTTCTTGCAAAAGTATAATTACTTGGACATAAACGTTAGAGGCTGGGACAGTGTGTGGGAGAAGGAGTTGATCACCAAGGGAGGCTCAGAATGTTTGTTTGATCATGGAACTCCTCTATATGATGATTTTGTTCATGATTACATGACCATATACATTGGACCAAACTTGAAGATTTATACACTAAAAACTACAGATATTATTGTCTGTAAAGGATACTGTAACTGGAAAGCAGAAAAAAAATGAGCAGTAACAAGTAATATGAAAACATGTGCACCCTCACCATACCCAGCTCATTTCCTGCAGGTAATTTAATTGCTTCTTTTTTTAGAACTTTGGAGCAGAGTTTTATAGAAGACTTCATGGGAGACATCCCCAAAGAACCACATGTCTCTATGGCTCCTTCTGATTCCCATGAGTTAGCCTCTGAAATTCCAATATGACTCAACATGAAATCATTTTAAAGGAACCAGACTGTGTGCTCTGGTGCCTTGGCTATCATTTACTTATCTGAACCCTAATCATTGCTAGTGCATCTGGGCATTTCCTCTACCCCTGATCTGAGGATTTGCTATAAGCCTGCAGTAGTCACCAGGGAAAACATCTCAAGATGAATTTTGCATTGATTGATTTTAAAATGATTACCCCTGTTTGTTTTGAAGAGTTTTCTTAATTTGCTATTTACAAACACTTCTGTAAACTAAATGAGAGAGGTAATTTTATTCTTTGTTTTAGAATTAAGGAGAAAACAGGAGCCTCCTCCAAAGCACAGTGAGAGTTAATAGTGGATTCAAGACTTGTGCTCAGTTTCCTGACTTCCTGTTGGGGTTTCCTTCCATCTTTACTTGTCTTAGAGATCTTGGAATCTTTTCACCAGTACTTGATAGACAACATCACCAATAGTATATATATATATACAGTTCCATGTCTAGATTTCAGATTTCAGAAGCACTATTCAGGATTGACTGTCCCTCCCACTGCAGGAGCAAGGTAAGCTTCTACATTTCATACACATTGTTAGTGAGAACTGTCATTTATGCAAAATCCATGGGACAGCTGTACCTACTATGAGTTATTTTAGCACATAACCAGATATTTTGAACATTTGTTTCTAAAACACTGAATTGAGAGTAGGGTTTAAATGTCAAAACTTGAGTAAGAAGTATAGTGATCCTTATGGAATATCATTTTGTTGCTTTCCTAGAAAAGATTAGCCAAAGAAAAAGGTAACACTCTTATTGAGTGAGTCTTAATTCACCTTATTTACTATCTGTTGTACTTTCACTGGAGGTTTAATACAAACACAAGACAGTGGAAAACCTTCCTTTAAACCACAGAAGTTTTGTAATGGAATCAGCATGATCCATTGTACTCTTTTCCCCATAATCTCATCCTTATTACAATGTTATGAACACATGTGCAAATGTTGATGGTGAGGTGGTTAAGAGTATAGACTTTTGATTTGGTCGCAGATGAATTTAAATCATGAATCTTGAACTTTCCTTTTCTTAGCTGTGCAATTATAGAGCTTTACACAGCTTCTCAAGTCCTCAGTTGTCTTAATGGTCAAAAGGGAATTATAATATGACCTACCTTACAACATTATTGTGAGGATTAAACAAAAAGTTGTGTTTATTTAAATACATATATATACACATACCTAAATATAATTAAATATACCCATCGTTTTTATTATTGTTTGCAGAACATAATATATTCTACAAGAGGTTATGGTTGTCAGAGGTTGACAAACCTAATGACTTTAGGGGCTAGGATTGTACAGAGAAGATAAGAGAGAGTTAGGACAATGGGGAGAATAATGATCAGTGCATGATGGGTGTCCTTCTAAAGACCTCAAATTCTGATTAAAAAGATTGAAAACATTGTTTTCACTCAAGAACAATTTATATGAAAAATTTAAACATGAATCTCACTACCAAAGCAAACCTGGAGGCTAAAGGCAGCCAACAAATTAGGAACTTTCAATCCTCCATCTGTGCCATTCAACTATGAGATGAAAGCACTGGAAAGAAATTAAGCAAAATAACAACTCATCGGTAATGATGCAGAGGATCGACAGAGAAATACTGGAGGACCCAAAATATCTCAGTGAACCAAGTATGGTGGGCGGAAATCAGAGAAAGAGGCTACAGAATTTCAAAACTCATCCACACCTGAATCCCTGAATTTTATCACCCATCTTTCTCAAACAAACAGAGAGCCTTTAATCCCATCCCGACAATACTTATCAGGCTATGGTACACAGCCAGCATTTTGCTCATTGTATTAAATCCATTATTTTATTTAATTCTCACAATAGTACTGTAAGATTCATCTCATTACAATCATCATGTTGTATATGGAGAAAATCAGGTTTGGTACTTAGGTTGGAGCCAAAATCTATTGAGTAGCAAATGGTAGGGCTTATATGCACCTCTTCCGAGAGCCCAAGTGCTACACTCACTGCTATATGTCTTTTCCTCGGAATTGCCTCTGCTGGTTGTACATGCCCCTACATCTCCAGTTACCCACCACACCTACTGGCATATTGGTCTCAGTTATTTAACTATATAAGCCCAAACACTGAGTTTGGATCAATGGAGACAAAGAGTAATTGCGCGTTGCATTAAATTCAATTTATTTATATTAAGACCAGTGGACTAAAGGACCACTCTGCCTATGCACATTACTTGGCTTTGGCAGTAATAATTTTTAAACCTAAATATTATTCAATCTCTGTGTCTCTTAAGTAAAATAGGGTAACACCTAGTCAATCTTACAGAGTTATTGAGAAAAATAAATGAGTATAGACATACTGTATCTAGAGCATTTCCTGGCACTTAAGCAACATAGGAGTATAAACATTGACTAGGCTCAGGATCGAAATGACAGATGTGTTTATTCCAGATATGTCATCTTACTCAAGACATTACTTTTTTTACACAAATCAGCTTACAAGTTTACAAAGTTTAGAAGATAGGAGATGATTCATAAAAATCCTTCAGTTTCAACAATATGTAACTCTATAGGTAATGCATGCATTAAATTTTGTTTTCAAACCCATACTTTAGATCTGAATAATAGTGAAGTAAAAATTATCACCATAATAAAAATGTACATCTGCCTATTGCCTTTTTATCTAATGCTTTCAATTTCTATTCAATAGCTTTTTTGTTAATCAGTATGTTCCTTTATTGTACATTGCTATAGGGTATCTTGCGATTCCCAAACACCATCCATGGAGAACAACACAGAAGTGGCTGAGTTCATCCTGCTAGGACTAAACAATGCCCCAGAGCTGCAGGTCCCCCTCTTTATAATGTTTACTCTCATCTACCTCATTAGTGTTGTTGGGAATCTGGGGATAGTCATCTTGATTCTCATGGATTCTTGCCTGCACACTCCCATGTACTTTTTCCTCAGTAACCTGTCTCTGGTGGATTTGTGTTACTCTTCAACTGTCACTCCTACAGTCATGACTGGATTTCTTCTAGGACACAAGGTCATCTCCTACAATGCATGTGCTGCTCAGATGTTCTTTTTTGGAGCCTTTGCCACTACAGAAAATTACCTCTTGGCTTCAATGGCCTATGACCGCTATGTAGCAGTGTGCAAACCCCTACATTACACCACTACCATGACGACAGGTGTGTGTGTACGTCTGGCCATAGGATCCTACATCTATGGCTTTCTGAATGCCTCTGTCCAAATTAGGGACACCTTCAGCCTCTCTTTCTGTGAGTCCAATGTGGTCCATCATTTTTTCTGTGATGTTCCAGCAGTCATGGCTCTCTCTTGCTCAGACAGACATATTAGTGAGCTGATTCTTATTGTTCTGGCAAGCTTCAACATTGTTTTTGCTCTCCTGGTTATCTTGATTTCCTACCTGTTCATATTTGTCACCATCCTGAAGATGCACTCTGCTGAGGGATATCAGAAGGCTCTGTCCACCTGTGCTTCTCATCTCACTACAGTCTCCATCTTCTATGGAACTATTATCTTCATGTACTTACAGCCCAGCTCCAGCCATTCCATGGACACAGACAAAATTGCATCTGTGTTCTATACGATGGTCATTCCCATGGTGAACCCCCTGGTGTACAGCTTGAGAAACAAGGAGGTCAAAAATGCATTTAAGAAGGTTGTTGAGAAGGCAAAAATTGTCTCTAGACTTCACCTTGTAAAACTTTAGGATACAGAATAACACAGTTTCGTTTCTGTCAGATGTTCAACATCCAGTGATTCTCATTGTGAGACCCATACTGCCCCTAAATTATTGAGATAATACCATTTTTTCTTCAAAAGCTTATCATCCAGAAAAATATATATCATGTCCAGATATGTAATATTTTAATTAGGGTAACCAAAGGGGACCTTAGGAATTTTGGGGGTCTCACTTGTAATAAACCTTATTACTCATATTTGATTTATTCACATGTTCATATTTTCTGTACCATGTGACAATGCAAGTATATGTGGAAAACATGGTGCAGACAAACCCATGAAGAGAAGCACATGCCAGAATCCCACATGTGCACAAACATGCAAAAGTAGGAAATGTGTTAGAGCAGTGGGATGGAACACAGCTAGTTTTTAATTTGAAAGTTAAAATAATTTATGTATCAGAATATACATTTATGTCCAACATTATTTATTTCTGTGGTTCAAAACTATTTCAGGGATTTAAAATGAAGAAAAATGTGATATGGATATTTAAATGAAGATGAATGCTTTTTGTTGGCACATTTTATTTAAAATATATATGTATAATATTAGAAAAAATTAATATTTCTGTCTCCAGTAAAGCTACTGGTAGAAACAGTTTGCTCACAGAATTATTTTCAAAAGCAGAAAGGCCAGAGTACAAGAAAACATGATTGAACCATAAGAAGGAAATTTTTCAATTTTTCTGCATATGACTACTTTATCTTATGTTTGGTAAACATGTAATAATAATTATGGATATGTCATCTTGCTCAAGACATTACTTTTTTACACAAATCAATTTACAAGTTTACAAAGTTTAGAATTCTATACTGGATAATGAACTACTATACAAAATGCTTTTGAACTACTATTGAAATGCTTTATGAAAGCATTTAATAATAATGAAACACTGATTAATAATAATGTTATCCATTTTTCTCATGGCAAATATTATGAAAAGGCTAATGCCACTCATTCATAAATGCTTCAGTATCAGATGAGCTCCGCCATGTCCAACCCCTCTTCTACTCAGTCACTCCACTTCATCCACACTGAGTTCTTTGCTTTTTCTGGACAAATGTAAGCATGCTCCTGCCCCAGGTTCTCTGTACTTGCTGCTACCCATGCTCAGAAATCTCCCTTACTTCCTACAGTCTTTGCTACCACATCATACTGAACCCACCCCACAATGGGCACTGTTCCTTCCTTGCACTACTTGCTTTAGTCTGCACAATTCTGATCAGTACTCAACTATTAAACTACTATCATTATTTATTTATTTCCCTACTGGTAGCATGCATTACAATAGAGGAGTCACTGTGTCCTCTCAACTAATAATTTCATTCCCAACACATAAATTATGGCCTGGTTTATGCTAATTTCTGAATAAATATTTGTTAAATTAATGAGTTAATTAAAATTTGAGTCAGCAGTTAACATATTTTAACCACTTATAGTTGTAGTAGTTCATTATCCATTATAGAATTCTTTAAAAAAGAATTTTAGAGCATTTTTATGAGACATGGTTAGATGTTTTCTTTCCTATATTCTTCCTCAGTATTTGTATTTCCCACTTTTAGACAAATTAATTTTGGGGGAACCACACAATCAAATGGATTATATCAAACTATCTTAATTCTTTTTCACTAGTATTCCTCATTTCATGGAAAATAGCCCATGAAATAAATTTTATTTAGTAAATCATAAAAAAACAAAGTGAGACTATGACATTGGTTAACAAAATTATATAGGTTTCAGGGATACAATTCAATTTCTAAAAATGAAACTATGGTAAGTTTCCCACCTGGTTCACTTTGCAGAGCACCTTCTGCAAATAGTGATTATTCATTTAATGCCAATGATTCTAAGCAGACAGGTTCTGTGTACCTCTCACCCAGTTTCCTCTTTGGCTAATATCTTATCTTATCATATTGCAATTGTAATATGATAAACTAAGAAACTAACACTGATACATTACTATTACATAACACTTCAAGGATTTATTTAGATCACTATTTTTAAATTCAGGTCATTTTGCTCCTACACAATCCAATCCAGGATGCAAGACTGTACGTATTTGTCAGGTCTCTTTAATTTTCTCTGATCTGTGACAGTTTCTCAGTCTTTCCTTATTTTTCATTACCTCCATAGGTATTTTTTAGAATCAAGTATTTTGTAGAAGGCTTTTCAATTTATGTTTGTCTGATTTTTTTTGTCATTGTTATGCAGGGGTTATAGGTTTTGAGAAAGAATAATAAGTTACCTTCTCATCATGTCCTATCAAAGGATACCTGTTGCCAACATGACTTGTCACTGGGAATTTTACTTTGATCAGTTAAATAAGATGGTCACTTAAATTTTGCCAGGTTCTTCAATGTAATGTTACCTTTTTCCCTACATACTCTACACTTTAGAAGCAAGTCACCAGATTCAGTGCACTCTCAAGGTGGAAGAGACTACATTCCACCTCCCACAGGAGAGCTATGTAGATTATCCAAAATTTCACTGTTAGCATGGACTCAGACAACAGTGTGGTGACTGCAGGATGGAGAAGTTGGTGGAGGTAGAAGAGAGTATAAGGGGAATAAGTGATAATGGAAAATACAATTAAAAATAAACTATCAAAATATTTTGCTATTAGAGAAATGCAAATCAAAACTACAATGAGATACCACATCACACCTTTTAGAATAGCTATTATCAACAAGACAGGTAATAACAAGTGTTGGAGAAGTTATGAGAAAAGGGAACACTCGTTCACTGCTGGTGGGAACATAAACTGGTACAGCCACTATGGAGAACAGTATGAAGGGTCCTCAAAAACTTAAGAATAGAGTTACCACAGGATCCAGCAACCCCTCTTCTGAGTATTTACCCCCCCAAAATTGAAAACATTTATTTGCAAAGATATAGGTACCCCTATGTTCATTGCAGTACTGTTATAGTGACCAAAACATACAAACAACTGAAGTGTCCTTCAGTAGATGAGTGGAGAAAGAAGATGTTGTATACATCACAATGGAGTACTGCTCACCCCCCAAAAACATGATGCTGCCTTTTACAACATTGTGGATGGTCCTTGAGAGTATTGTGCTAAGTGAGATAAATCAGTCAGAAAAAGCTAAGAACAGTGTGATTTCACTCATATATGGGACATAAAGCTGAAACTCTGACACCGACAACAGTACTATTGTTACTAGAGGGAAGGGGTGTGGGGAGTTGTAAAAGGTAGAGGGAACCAAATCTGTGGTGATGGAAGATGACTTTGGGTGGTGGGCACACAATGCAATATACAGATTATGTACCATAGAAATGTACAATTGAAACCTATATGATAGATTGACCAATGTCATCCCAATAAATTTAATACAAAATAATAATACAAACTAAAATCTCTCTGTAAGGAAAAATTGTTTGTTTATATTAGGAGAACTCAAGCCAAGACAGTGAAATAAAGTGTCAAGAATCCTGACCATTGATGTCTGCATGGAGCACAGTAACAGGCACAGAGGAGTCAGAGGTCAAGTCTGCTCAAACAATCAGAAAAGGCTTTGTAAAAGAAAGTATTGTTGAAATGAGAATTTAAAAAATGATCCCAAATGCTTTAGGCAGATGGTGTCAAAGGAAACAGTACAAGGAAGCTTCCAGAGTCATAAAACATCACTTTCAAAGGGATGGATTCTGAAAAAAGTAATGACATTAAACATTTTCTCTCAGTGAATGGATACTTGACTTTATGAGGACTGAATAATATCATTATTAGTTTTTTCAACATCTAATTTTAAAATTGTGCCTTTAACTAACTTATACATTGAGTTCTTACAATACATTAAGCCTTGGAAATGCAATGAAGAAACAATACTGGCAAAATCTTATCCTCATAGAGTTTACAACTTTATGAGAGAGGGAGAGAGAGACAAGAAATCAACTAAATGCAGTAATAATTAAAAAATGATATTAATGCTATAAAATGATCAGGTTTTGCAATAGATACTAACAGAGGAGAAAGAGATATGCTTAGACTAAGCACATAGCACTGAAAGTGAAGAAGAAGAGCACTCTGATGATACAGTCTGCATGCTCATACAATTGATGCCACATCACTGGGTTGGTGTTGCTGCCACTTACTGGTAAGGCAACCACAGAAGGAGAAACATGTTTAGAGGAAAAAGAAAGAAATGAGAGTTCTATTGGACTTGAGATTCTTCTGAAATAAAAAGGTGGAGATATAAAAGTAGGTGTCATTAAGTATCTGGTTTTCAGCAGAGAAATCTGGATGCCATGCATTTGACGCACTAGTCAAATGTTTATTGGGTATCTACTATGGCAAGCCCTGTTCTAGGATTTGTGGGTAGAAAAAAGTTGAGAATCCATATTTTCTCTAAACTGATGTTAAAGAGGGAAGATATTAATAATAAAATAAATAACTAAACATATACTGTAAGTCAGATGGTAATGAGTTTAAAGAAGAAAACATTAGCATCCCTTTTTAAAAGACTCTAAAAGGAAAGTAATTGAATACATTTCAGGAGCCTCAGTGATAATAAAGGAGAATAGATAGCTTTATAACCTCAATTTGATGTAATAATATACCAGCAAAGGTGGAGTTATATTATAGGAGTCAGGCTACCTGGCTCCTATTCATAAGTTTCCACTTGAGAGCCATACAACCTGAGCAAGTTTCTCAACATCACTGCATACATGAATACTGCTGTATCATTGGAAGGGATGTTAGGGCGCATGAGAGCCTGGGGTTGGGATTGTTATACAAAAAAAATAATGGGTGGACCCCTCTGGAAAATTAGAAGATGCACTTGGTATAATAGCAGAGCTCACAAAGTCTCAGACATAGCAGTGGACAATTGAGTACACATTTTCCTCATTTATAGAACAAAGGTGTCAACTTTGGTAATCTTTAATGTTCCTTCCAGATGTACAATCTGGTTAGACTAACTTTTTGTCAACAGTGTGATATTCTTACTTGAA